CTGACACGGATGGTGTCCTTAGGGGTTACGACTTCCCTGGTTTCCTCCCCCGGGGTGTTGGTCCTTCGCATTGCCCGTGCGAACGAATCAACGAGACGGTCTTCCATTGATCGTGGCTGGTCTTCAGGTTGCGGGTTCAACGCTGTTCCAGCCGGCCGAGCATGCCGGGGATCGCCTCCATCGGGGGGCATGTCCACGCTCTCTGAAGCGGGACGCTTTTCTTCTTGTTCTTTCATCTTCTGTTGTACTTTCTTCTCCACCTCCTCTTTGATGTGCGCCGCTAATGCTTGGCGATCCTCCTCAGTATAGCTGCTGAGGTCGAGGGCTTCCTCCATAATCTACTTCTCTAGCCGACCCTTTTATAGCTAGCCTCACCTCGGGATCCCGTATGATATCAGCACGCTAGCGTGTTAGGATGATCCGAACTGGGGGTAGCTTGNTGTCCACGCTCTCTGAAGAGGGACGCTTTTCTTCTTATTCTTTCATCTTCTGTCGTACTTTCTTCTCCACCTCCTCTTTGATGTGCGCCGCTAATGCTTGGCGATCCTCCTCAGTATAGCTGCTGAGGTCGAGGGCTTCCTCCATAATCTACTTCTCTAGCCGACCCTTTTATAGCTAGCCTCACCTCGGGATCCCGTATGATATCAGCACGCTAGCGTGTTAGGATGATCCGAACTGGGGGTAGCTTGTCGCAAGACGTGTGTTGAATAGGGTGTCGGCAACTCGGCGAGCTCGCGCCAAGGAGGAAAGACGTGTAGGGTTTGTTGCATAAACTTCTTCTTCACATGAACTCACATGAACTTACATAAAACACACTGAACGCACGCGTGCACGCACCACCATGAGGGGGCGACGCAGTATACAACAGGGGTACCTTGCACATCCTGGAAATACATTCCACGTACCACACAATCCTACAACCACTTGGCATTGCTACAAGTATATCTATCAAGGTCACTTCTGATTGCTGATTGGTGAGTAGACAAAGTGCTATTGGCGCCGGAGATAGCCGTGAGGATTGGGTCGGTGGAGCCGAAGGAAAAAGGTTGAGTGATATCGCGAGGATGCGTTAATGTTGTGGTAGAAACGTAGGGTAATCTCCCCGTACTGACGTGTTGAGATTCTTAGAACATTGGAAGGTAGAAAATGTGTTTTTTGTGATTTCTCCGCACCGATGTATTTTTGATGTTGTCGCAGTGGAATGTACACGATATGGGAGAAGCGACGGGGAAAGTCATTGTCGGTAATTTGACGACTTGTTCGCATATTGCAGAATAATGATGTGGAGAAAAGGTAAATGCCGAGGAATTTGTAACGTTGAGCGATAAGCTTCACCACCTCCACCACCACCTCCTCGACCTCAACCTCAACCTCGACCACCGGCAACAACGACGCTCTTCCCGTTCACCAGCTGCCCGACATGGACTACGACGTCGCCACCGACGAGGAAGGCCACACAATCGGTGTTCTGGCTCCTTCGTCGTCCAAGCCAGTCATTCTGGAAGAATCAAACGAGGACAACAGGGTTGGCTTGCCCATGGCCATCACTGCCGCCCCTGAGCACGTTGGCTGCTTCATGTTGAGCCGGGTGGAGGTGTTCCTTCGCAACCGAATCACAGACAACCCCAGAGGTTCGACACTCCTGCGGGTGTACAGCAAGGCCGACATTACCCCCCTGGTAAGATGGTGACGCATCTGACGACTGCCTCAAGAGTGTGGCAGGTGTACAACCTTGCCTGCGAAGTGAATCTACTAGATCGGGAGGTGGAATAGTTTTTTGTGGTGGTTGCACAAAAGTACCTGCAGTAGGCTCGTGCGTCTGTTACAGAAGAGCGGGGGTCGAGAGGGGCGTGGTATCCATCATCATTCGCTAGAGGGGGGGTGGTGTCCATCATCAGCTAGCGAGGGGGTGGTATTCATCGTCACCAGCTAGAGAGGGAGGGGGCTGCTATCCATCGTCATCAGCTAGAGAGGCAAAAAAAAAACGTTGGAAAATTCCCCGGCTCTCTAGCTGCTGCTGAT